TAGATAGATAGATAGATAGATAGATAGATAGATAGATAGATAGATAGTCAGGAATCATGGATTTAGAGCTCAGCTAGTTCAACCTCTTCATTTTACAGATAAGCAAACTGAAGTCCAAAGACAATAATTGATTTGACCAAGGTCATACTTAAGCATCAGAGGTGAGATTTGAAACCAGATCTGATGCCAGAAGCAGTATTTTTTCTGCTACAGCTGTGTTCTCATTCTCTGTCTCTCTGTCTCTCTCTCTTTCTCTCCCTTTCCTTCTGCCTCTCCCTCTCTTTCCCTTCTCCTCTCCTCCCCCCTCCCTCCATCTCTCACTAAGCAAGACCAATGTGAATACTTCCCCTCATGTTCTGATTACATTTTTGCACAGCATCAACATTCACTTTTGGAAAGTTTAATTAATGCACAAGACAGCTCATATATTTGGAAGATTTCCTCCGTCTTTGACAGCTAACTACAATGTCCAGTTAAACTGTCCTGCCTAAGAATGGAGACTGATTCATTTAGTTTTCTTTACTGAATTTTCAAGTATACTTGTGAAGAGCTTTTCTCCTTAGACTGACAGTCACCCAGAGATTTAGTGTAGGTCAAGAGATCTTGAAGCATTCAAGATGCATAGCTGAGAAAATCAATAGTGGGAAATTAACCTGTGTGTTGAACAGTTCCAGAGAGTGAGTGGAGATTTATCACAGAGTGTTCAAAGAACAATCTGGCTTTAGAATTAGATGAGCCCCATAAAAATTTACATTATGTCATTAAATCATTGGGTACTATTTATACTGAGATTGAAGGGTCCTCCCCAGGTTCTAATACCATGGAAGATCCAGGTTTGAAATGATCATTTTAGACATTTCCATGTGAAACTTGCCACCACTTACGGGCCACTCTCCTTTGAAAAAGCAGGCATGTTTGAGATCCACAAAGATGGACTGGCCTTTCAATCTTAGAGAAATCCATGCCTTTGCTGAAAAGATACTGCTGAAGACCAAATGAAGGTTACCTATGATTAAGGGGATTCTGAACCTGGAGAAAATAGAGTCATGAAACAGGAAAGCCAATCTTAATAATGTCAAGCTGCCAAATCAGACTTACCAAGCAAGTAGGGAGCATTTAGATTGGGGGGAAAGTGTGAAGGGTAGAAAAGAAGAAATGTAAAAAAAAAGGGTGAAGAAAGTGGGTCATGGGCAGCTCAATGGCACAGTGGATAGAGCACAGGCCCTGAAGTCAGGAGGACCTGAGTTCAAATCTGGCCTCAGATCAAACACTTGACACTTACTAGCTGTGTGACCCTGAGCAAGTCACTTAACCCCAATTGCCTTAAAAAAAAAAAAAGAAAAGAAAAGAAAAGAAAGTGAGTCACCTTGGAAGGGCCTAACACTCAGAAGAAATGGTCAGAGTAACAATGAAGTCAATCTCTGCACTCAGTGAACATCTACTACTATTGTTACTGACAATAGTAAGCCTATATTTTGGAGTAAAAGGAGATAGCCAAATGTAGAATTTTGCTAGTGTCAGGAACTCCTGATGTGAAAACTCCTTCCACCACTGAATATCTGCAATTCAGCTATAGTTTATAGTCTTAATGAGTTGATTGGAGAGACTTAGAGGTTGTGACTTGCCAAGGGTCATGAAGCCAACTAAGTATTAAAATCAGAATTTGAACCCAGCTCTTCCTGACTGTAAGGCCAGTCCTCTATCCATTACACTGTCCTGCCTCTCAGTTAGCCTAAATATTTCATTTATATTTCTATGGTGAAGGATTCCAAAGGGTTGTCTGGAAAAGGTTTTCTTTCTCAAAATAGTAAAATTTAAAATTCAGAGAATAAGGCACTAAGCTCTCCTAGCACCAGAATGAAAAACAAAAAACTGAGAAGAGAAAAAAAGTATCAATTTAGAGTTAATATTTAAAGCAGTTAATATCATATTGCAAATTATCATCTGGTAATAAAATACTGGCAAATTATTATTTTATCCAGGGAGGTAGAAAAGAATGCTGATTTTTAAAAATTAAACATTGTTATATACTTCCATAATAGAATCTGAGCTGGATATGCAGAGGGGAAAAGTGAACTGATCTTTTAAAAAAAATATTTGTTTGTCAGATGGCATGAATGCCAGGATCAGAAACTATCTGGCTTCACTGGCCTCTGCTATGTAATTGATAAGAACAATCTATGACTTCCATATCTATTCATTAATCTGAGGTCTCAATGGGGAATGCCAAGTTTGGGATTGCTAACACAAAAACCTTAACACCCCTCATTGGACTTTGGGTCTTTAAACAATGAAAAAATTGCATATGACTCAAACCCAGCTAAGAGCCAGCGAATGAATTTCTATTCATGCCATGCTTAACAAATTAATAACAATAAGCCCAACTCTGATACCTGACACAACCTCGTTAGACTGGCACTGAGTAATTCTAAGAGCCGCAGGATGTGAACAAAACTGGGCAATAAACAGCCATTTTCACCTTGTTTTAGGTGATGGAAGAAACTCTCTAGGAGTCTGACT